ACTTTTTGAGCACCAAATGATGCCCCAAAGACATACTCATTGAAGCATCTCAGATTTTGGATTTTTGGATTTGGGATGCTCAACAGGTCGGTATAATATGAACATCCCCAAATCTGGAAAACATTCTACAACCTGAAACAATTCTGGTCCCAAACAATTCGGGTAAGAAATACTCAACCTGTATAAGATGCTTTGGGAAGGCAACAGAGGTACCTAAACTTGCTTAGGTGAGTGGGAAGGTGTCATTGTACCTTGCAGCTGATTCTTGAAAGACATGGAGGAATTCTTTGGGCAGAGAGAGGGATGCAATTGCAGGGAGGAAATTGCATTGGTAAAAAACACAGAAAAGGAAAAGAAAGGGGTATTCTACATGCACTGAAGCTGTTGTAGCACAGGGACTGTGGGGGCCTGGGGTGAGCAGGGAGGTTGGTAAGGTCGGCTTGGGGCCACATTGTAACAACTCTGAGAGCTGAGTGGGCACGTGAGCTTCTTCTGTGGACACTGGGGAACCGTGGCAGGGATGGCGTAGTCACGGATGACTGGTGGTAGTGGGAAACAGTTGATTAGAGGGGGAAAAATGAGTCCAGGAGACCAGCTTTATGGTGTGGTAAAAACATAAAACCAACAAACAAAAACCTAGATAAGAATAACAAGGACCTGAACTCATTGTAGTGGGGCGGAGGAGAGAGAAGAAATGAAGGTGAGAGAGGTATTTAGGAAGAAGGACCAATAGTTCTTAGAGACCGATTGGATACTGGGGCTGATGGAGAGAGAAAAATCCAGGCGGGGGTTTCAGGTGTGGAAGGCTGAAAAGGTGGCAATGCTGATGCTAAGGTAGAGAATGTAGCATTAAAGATGGTTTTAAAGGAGGAATAAAGGATTTAGTTTAAGGCCTGTTGCATTTAAAGGGCCAAGAAATTTGAATAGGGAACATAGGAGAGAGATGGTGGATGGTGACACATAAGACTTACTTTTTGTTAAGGAAACTTTTTTGCAATCTGATGGTTGTAACTGAGATTTTTGTGGACCCCCCTCTCTCATCCCACCCCACCCCCAAATGGAGGAATGTTTTAACATTTATTTTTCTAAAGAACATGTTTTTACTTTACTAGCTGATAAAGAACATATCTACCAGGTAAAAACATTACTCAACTCAGAAGTTTCTTTTTTCTTCGAAATTGAACTCAGCCACCATTTTTGCCTCTCTGTGCTTCACTTTGCTTGTCTGTGAACATACTAACAATAGAACCTACCTCATACATTTTTTTGTGAGAATTAAAGGAGCTAACAATGCGAAGTGCTTAGAGTAGCGTTCAGCACATAAAAGGGGTATATTAGTTTTAAATTTTATTAACTCCTTGCCTTGCAGGATGGCCTATAGAAGCAACATTGAAATCCAAGTTTGTCTCTGTCTTTTGTAAAAGCCTAAACCTACCTGGAGATTTTCCAGGTGTCTTAGAATAGGAGGGAGAAAGGAGGGAGGCAAATGCATTATAGCAAGGCAGAGTGAAGACACCCCGCAGTGCTGGGGCGGGGGTCTCCTGGTGGTGCCCTGGAGAGGAGGCTAGTCTTGCAGAGAATGATGGTATGAGGGCCTGGTGAGGCTAAAATTGGAGGACAGTGACCACTGGACCTGAGGGTACTGTATAGGCCAGCACATGGGACATCCTAGCAGGTACTGATCAGAGAGGCGTCTTTGTATCGGCACATTTCTGGAGGAGAAGCCTCTTATGAGAATGACAGCTGACTTCCCACCCTCTTCCTCCTGGTATATTAGGGACTTGGAATGAGATACAAATGGATTTAAAGAAGTGAAAACTTAGGCCACTTCTTTTTTGCACACATGAGTGAGTGTGCATAGTCAGTTTCAGGTAGGAGCATGGGATGGAGGTGCAAACACATGTCTGTATGACTCTTTGCTTTTAATGAATTAAAAATGCTCTTTCCCCTTCCTTCCTTCTTTTCCCCCTAGGAGAAATAGAAGCCGAGTCCTTGGTCTCTGAGTTTAACCAGGACCTCCCTAGAGCAGCCCTCAGACAGAAAGATTTAGCCCCATTCCCCTCCACTTCTCTCAGTCCTCTCCCTAGACTACTTGCCCTTCTGCATTTCCCTTCCTGTCCTTCTCCTAAAAGCTCCCCTGTGCAGCTGCGGAGCAGCTGGTGGCTCTCCAGTCACCCCCCCCCACCCGTCACTTCCCTGTTGAAGGGGGCTTAGGGAGAGCTGGAAGGTGCTGCATCAATGTAAGACATTTCCTCCCCTGCCCCTCAGCTGCGCTGCTCAGCTGCGTGTCCTCTGGCACCCACAAAATCAAGCACCTGCCTGCCAGATGTTTGCACCTACAGGTTGCAGAGCTGACTGCAGCAAGGCCTTCAGAACCCAGCTGGGTATTTAGATGGGGGCAACATTAAATTAAGTTCTTGGACTGAATAAGATTGGTGGTGGTGGTGGTGGGGGGTCATCTCTTCCATTTCTCTAACTTCAGGAAACGTGAAGCTAAACAATTGAATTCTTTATGCTTTAAAAACATCTAATGGAAGAGTTCATGACTTCCCTTGGGATCAATGTCAGAGGGTTTTCTTTATGACTAACCATATTTCTTTCTAATTTTAAAGGAGGTAGGCTAATACCATGCAGCACTTAGACATAATAATCATTCTTCCTTTCTCCCCAGGGTAAGTATTCAGAGGAGAAGAAGTGTGGTGGTGTAGAACGAGCACTGCCTTTGGGGTCACAGAAGCCTATTTTCAAATCCAGGTTTAGCCCCATGCCAGCTATGACCTGTCTTAACCCCTATGTCCTAATTTTGTGCTCTTTAAAATTTGTCTAGTAGCACCTGCCCAGAAGAGTTTGGCCAACTAAATGAATAGTGTGTGTGGATTCCTAGTGTCGTCGCTGGCTTAGAGTAAGCCCCCAGCAAATCTTAGCTGTTGTTGTCATTATCATGAATAGCCCATTTCTTAATTCAAGCAACAACAGCAAAAAGATATCTAGCATTAATTACCATTGGCCCATTTCTGCTTGGTGCTTGCTGAACTAAGTGTTGCATGGAACAAGGCAACCCACTCACACCTTTTCTTTAGTCCAGGGTTTTGAAAAGTGTGCTTTTGAAAAGTGTGCTGCATCAGAATTACCCAGGAGCACTTATTACAACTTCAAAATAATGTGCCCTAACACACCTACTGATCAGAAATCTGCTGGCTGGCAGAGAATCAGCATTTTATCAACACCCCAAATAATTCTTATCACCTTGAAGTTTGAGAGTTAGTTCTTAGTATGGTCAGGTGGCCCATCGGTCAAAGAAGCTATGTCACCTGGTGTTCCCTGGCACGTCCTTTTGTTCTCCCCAACAGCCAGCCATCAGTTGGTGCTCACCGTCCCAGAATCACGGGGGCACAGAATGTCAGCATTTGAAACAACCTCAAAGGTCATATCATCAAATCTCTTACCAGACACAAGAATCCCTTTTATGGAAACTCCGAGAGTGGATTGTGGTTTCTTTAGAGGATTGAGAGAAGTGCGATACAAAAACTAGGAGCCCAGGCACAGGGAAATAGGAAGAGAGAGGTCTGGCTAAGGCCGGGCACAGCCGACAGTACTCGTGAGGTGCTGATTATGCGGAGAGCCCAGCACTGGCTTTGGTGGGAAGACACCAGGAAGGGGGAGCAAGGACTTGCAGTGGCCCCACCATGCCCAGCATCTGGACAGAAACTGAGAAGTCTAGCTGATCATGCCAACGTTTCTAAATGACCAGATGTTAGATGCTGGAATTTGGAGAAGTTTGAGGTCCCTTAGGAGAACTGAGTGGGGAGCAAGGGAAAACATGAAAATAGGAAGAAAAGATAAAAAATGAAACCCAGCAAGATACAGGCCAATGCTGATTATTAAATTAATAAATACATTTCTGGAGTCCTTCTGGTTGAAAAGCTCTGGATATACAAAGAGTAATCAAACCTGAATACTCCCCCTGTCCACTCAAGGGGCAGCAGGCATGTGGGAAAAGTAAAGGCTTTGGGGAAAGATTTGGATTGGGACTCACGGCTTAGTAACCCCAGAACCTGGAAAGTGCCTTAATTTCACTGAGCAGCAGATTTCTCATCCTGAAAATGCTACCTTTCCTGTTGTGATGAGGACTAAATTCAATAATGTGTAAAAAGCATCTAGTACCATACCTGCATGTAGAAGTACTCAACAATTGTTACAAGTCCCTTCTGGAAGAGAAAACACAACTCCTATCTAGCCACCCAGATGCGAGTGGCACCATTAGTGTTTAGTTAAAGTTGCTCTTGGGGTTCTAAGGACAGGTAGCCTTGACTCCTGCATGTTGGAGCCCAGGTATATGTTCACCACAGTTTAGTCAGCTAATAAAAGCTTCCACAGCCTGGAAAGGATTGCTTTGTTTGTTACATCCTTGATGTTCTCCTTAGAGCTTATCTAGAGGTTTATTAATTAATCTAGATGTATGCCACATGGAGACAGAAACAGTAAAAATACCCATCCCTCTGAAGGACAAATGTAGGTTAGGCAACTGTTTTGGCTATTTTGTTTTATTATTATTTAATTAGAAAAATAAGGCAAGTAATTTAAAACTATGACAGAAGAAAGTTCTGGACCTGGGGTTAGCACTTTCTACCCTCTTACTCCCACTGAAGGCAGGGCCTGGACAGAATGCATGGGACAGTTATTTGAGGAGTCTGAAAAATAGATAGTACCAAGAAGATTGGGAGAAAAGGGAAGAATTTGAATGGCCACTGAACCAGGAGTGAGTTTATCATTTTCCTCACTCTGGTATTTCCTTGAATTCAGTGCAGCCCCAAACCTGGAAATAGGTAGTGGGGTGCAGACAAGAGAGAACTCGGAGAAGCCCTTTAGTTCTGACTTGAGTGGAAAAGAAAGCTCCTTACATTCAGAGAGAATTTAGAAGTTCCTCATTTTTCTTTTCTCTATTTTTATTATTTTCTTCACTTTTTCTTTTTTCTTTTTTTTTTCTTTTTTGGTCCCAGAACAATCCCTTAGTAGCAACAGCAGCAGTGGGAGCCTGCAGGAGCCTAAAACTCTGAGAAAAAACCCTTTCTCTTCCATCAAAGGAGCTGTAGGCCCAAGAGGGTGGGTGAAATTCTATTGCATTTTTTCTCTCTCTTTCTTTCTGGTTGGCCTGGACATGGGCTCAGTTGTGGGAAATAAGTAGCAAAGTAGGGTGGCCAAAGCCCCTGCTTTTTGGCCGGAGGACTGAAAAGGGGTGGCCTAGTGAACCAGAAAGTATGTAGGAGATAATGGAGAGGGAGGTGCTTGGGAAAATGACCTCTTAAAGTGGTTTATGAACTTGTGGGCTACACCTCATGATCTGTGAAAGTGTTAACTTGACCCTAAATATTATATATAGACTTTGAGAACTGAACCATGGGCTGTGTCACTACATAAGTCTCAGAATGTACTGCCCACTGGGTGGTATACATGCAATACCATTCCAAACAGCACTATAAAATTTTTGAATCTTGAACTGATATTAGAGCAACAACTCTCATAAGGCTAGTTGGAACTAGCCTGAAGCCAACTGGGGTATTTGCTTGCTTAGAAAAACAAACAAACAAACAAACAAACAAACAAAAACAATAAGAACTTTGAGTCATTTGAATGAACACTCAAAATGTCCAAGATACAATCCAAAATTACCTGGCATACAAAGAACTACAAAAATCTCAAGCCATGCAGAGAAAGATAATCAACAGAAATCAATGTCTCACTGACATGAAAAAAAATTTAAAGCAGTTCTTATAAAAATGCTGCAACCAGTTAGAGAGAACACTCTTGAAATGAATGAAAAGTTTATAGCAGCACAATTCACAATTGCAAAGATGTGGAAACAATAAAAATGCCCATCAATACATGAGTGGATTAATAAAATGCGGTATATGTATACCATGGAGTACTATTCGGCTATAAGAAACGATGGTGATATAGCACCTCTTGTATTTTCCTGGATAGAGCTGGAACCCATTCTATTAAGTGAAGTATCTCAAGAATGGAAAAACAAGCACCGCATGTACTCACCAGCAAATTGGTATTAACTGCTCAACACCTAAGTGGACATATAGGAATATCATTTATCAGGTGTCAGGCAGGTGGCGGGGAGGGGATGGGCATATACATATATAATGAGTAATGTGTCCAATGCACACCAAATGGGGGATGGACATGCTTGAAGCTCTGAGTGGGGGGGGGCAAGGGCAATATGTGCAACCTTAACATTTGTACCCCCATATTATGCTTAAATAAATAAATAAATACAATTTAAAAAATTAAAATTAAAAAATAAAAATATTTTCCTCACCTTTTAATATACATTTTTATGCATTTTATATATAAGTATTAAATATACATTTAATATACACCTTTTAATATATATTTAAGAAACTGTTTTTATTTTGTGCATATATTTCCATATATAAAGATTTACTTTAGGTCATTAAATATGAAATGTACAAAAAAATAGAAATTATCAGCAAGGAAATAGAAAATGTAAAAACAAAAACATGCCCCCCAAAAAGACCCCAAGAAATGGAAATTTAGGAAAAAATTTTATTAATAAATACACACACATAGAAAAAAACCCCAAACCTTGCTGGGTGAGCTCAACAGCAGAATGGAGATGACAGAAGAAGTCAGAGTATGAAGATAGATCAATAGAAACAATCTGATATGAACAACAATGAGGGAAAAGATAGAACAAAGAGAATAGGTGTCGGAGACCTGGAGGTCACCAGGGCACCAGCAGAAATGAGAGAGTACGAGGCTAACAAACAAACACACACAAAATTGGTTGGAAACTTCCCCAGTCTGGTGAAAGACAGAAGCCTACAGATTCAAGAAGCTTAATGAATCTCAAACCATATGAATCCAAAGTAATCCACACTCAAATATATCACAATCAAGCTGCTGAAAACTAAAGAAAGCAAAATCTTGAAAGTAGCCCAAGGGAAGTGATGCATTACCCATAGGAGAAAAATAATTCTAACTGTGAATTTCTCAGATTTCCCATCAAAAAATCGTGGAGCCAGAGAAGTTGGAACAACATTTTTCAAGTGCTGAAAGAAAAGAAATGTACAGCTATAATTCTATATCCAGTAAAAATAGTCTTCAGGAATAAAAATTCTCAGATGAAGGAAATCAAAAAGAATTTCTTACCAGCATATCTTCTCTAAAAGAATTGCTAAAGGGAAGTTTTCAGACAGGGAAGAAATGATATCAAAAAAATGAGAACATCAAGAGTGGGAGAGAACAGAAATAATAAATATTTGGGAAAATTTAATACATAATTCTCCTATTAAGTTTTTAAAAAGTTTTTCTATATATATATATTTGATTATTAAAAGCAAAAAAGTAACATTGATGGGGTTTTCAATGTATATAGCTATAATACACACAATAACTACAAAATAAATGGAGGGTGAGGCCTATATGGTGGTAAGGTTGCTATGTTCCATTTGAAGTGGTAAAATATTGAGTTAAAGTAGACTGGAAAAGTGAAGTTTATGTGTTGTAATTCTAAAAGCAACCAGTAAAAACAAACAAAAACCCTATACAAAGAGATGTAGTAAAAAATGCAATAGATACAGTAAAATGGAACATTTTAAAATATGTTCAAATAACCACAAAGAAGAAGGCAGGAAAGGGGAAACAGAGAAACAGAAGGGTAGAAGAAACAAATAGAAAACAAAGAATAAAATAGCAAATCTAAATTCAAGCATATAAATAATTACATTATAAAAAAGTCACTTCAAATTTTATAGATAGATAGATAGATAGATAGATAGATAGATAGATAGATAGATAGATAATTTAAAGTAAAAGGATAGGAGATGACTTACCAGGCAATACTAACCAATGGAAAGCTGGAGGGGCTATATTAATATAGGAGAAAGTAGAATTCACATTCATAAAACTATGCTCATGGATAAAGAGGGATATTACACATTTTATAATGATAAGAGTCCATTCACATAGAAAACATAGCAATCCTAAATATTTTGCTAAAATATTTTAAATATCTAAAAACATCTAAAAATATCTAAAAACAAAGCTCCAAATTATACAAAGGAAAAACGGACACAACTGAAAAGAGAAACAGACAAATCCACAATTGCAGTTAGAGATTTCAAAAGTCCTCTCTCAGTAACTGACAGAACTAGCAGGCCGCCTGGGAGGGCATCCTGATCTTTGTCCCCCCTGTCGTGTGATCTCTACCAGTGCCTCCCACCTGGCTGCACCCAGCCACATGCCAGCTGGAAATGCCATCTCCAAAGACAAGCCTCCTAGAGCACAGGGCAGGGCAGAAGGGCAGAGGATGGATTTGGGATGTGGGGTGGGAGTGATTAGAGACTGTCTAGCACTGAGAGCAAGAGGAAGAATGGCTACTAAGCATAAAGAGAGAGAACAAGTAACTTTTTGTTCAGAGGCATTGATTGAAACTGTCAAACCAGATCGTCCAGTTGAAAGTCAATGCTCTTAGGTGTTTCTGTGAACAATCTGTCCAGATGGCCTTTGCAGGGGAGGCTAAGTGGCCTGGTCTGTGTGGGTGAAGTGATCATTTGCATGATCAACAGAGCCAGGGAGCTGTCCTACCTCTGCTTCCCATTTGCCTACATACACTGAGTTGTAGCATTAGATCTGTGTATCCTTCCCCAATTCTCATTTTCCCACTTATAGAATTAGGCATGGTTTTTCTTCTGCCTAGGTTGTTTTCCTATACAAGGCTCTTTGAGAAGGATACAGTTCATTTCAGTTTAAGAGATGGCTTGGGATTTATTCTTAAATTTAGATAGGCTTGATCATGAAGACAGGAAGTTTTTAAAAAGTAATATTTTAGAGAGAATAGGCAGTTCACAAAATCACAGAAGGATTGACTTGCAGACTACCCACCCAGAGAGTTGGTGACTCCCTGAATAGTCCAATTCTCAACCAAGACTTTGCTTGACCATCCTCCAAATACAGTGTCTCCTCAAAAGCTGGTGCTGTCGATTAAGGGGAGATTTCCTTGGTGGCTGGCTCACAGGCTTTCTGGAGAGACAGCCTGGCTGGTGTCCAGGGATCCTCTGACTCCTGACCCCAGCCTGGGAGTGCCAACCTGCCCGCCACAATCAGGTCCCACACAGACAACCTCCCTCTTGGTCGGGCACCCAGTGGGCTGGAGTGGCCATGGAGGGAAGGGGACCTTGGTGGCCTGTGATGTTTGCACTACTTCTCCTCGTTTGCGGGGAAGGACTGAAGTGACAACAGGAAAGGAGACAGAGAAGAAGAAGGAAAGAGATGGAATGGAGCATTCTCCAAGACTTCTTATACCTCAGGAAAGAGAGAAAACAGGCAGCCTTCTCGTAAGGGAAAGTGGTCACGACAGTGCTCACAGATAGTCAATTCAGAATTTTGGGGTCGCATGTAGGCAGTTTGGCTGTCAAAACAGTATTGCCCATGAAGACAACTGTCTCTTTTAATTTTTAAGCATTTAGAAAATTGAATATTGAATTGGCTTAACCCTTTTGATGGTGGTTCCATCTGGAAAAACTCTCTTTGTAACAATCCTGTGGGAATGGTTTAGGATATTCCTGGACAGAGATTATCTGCCAGGGTTTCATGAGTTGAGCTAGTGTGTGTTGAGCATGAGTGGAAAGATTTTATTCTTGCAACTTACTATAGAGAGGAAGGAGGTATATGGAGGTGAGATGCTGATGGCAACTCTGTAAGAAATCCCACATTCAGCCACCGGTTCCTTAAATGATGGTTTAGGGCTCTCAAGATGAATTTCAGAATTATCAAATGAAAAAAATGAGCTCTGAGTTAGTTTATTCTTTAACAAGGACTTTCTATTCCACTGTATTCAGTACAGGCTTTGCAATCTTTGCTACATTTCAGATGCCTCATCTATAAAGTGGAGCCAACATTATTACCACACTGGGTGGTTTGTAGGAATAACTGAGAAAATGGCAACAGGGGGTCCTTAATAAATGTTTATAAAACAAGATATGTGGGAATCAAGTCTCGTGCCAGGATCTCTCTAGGGAGATGGACATGGAAAAATATGAGACAGGAAATAAGCAAGCTTCTTGGAACAAGCTCACACTCACTTCTAATTTTTTTTCTTTTACAACAGTGAATTAGAGGTCAAGGCTAAAGTGAAAGGAGATAAAAATGACCAGAAATAGCGATAAAAAAATATCCGCCAGAAAAAATCAGGCACCAAATTCTCTGAAGCCAAGCTAGCTGGCTGTGGCTTTTACATTTCCTCAAACACTGAGATCCAAATTAAAAAGTTTCTGCACAGCCAAGGAAACGATCATTAGAGCAAATAGACAACCCACAGAATGGGAGAAAATATTTGCTCTCTACACTTCTGATAAAGGTTTAATAACAAGAATCTATCTAGAACTTAAAAAGAATTAACAAGAAAAAATCAAACAACCCCAAAGAAGACAGAATAATGGCCTGCAAACATATAAAAAAAAGGTCAACATCTCTGATCATCAGAGAAATGCAAATCAAAACCACAATGAGATATTACCTAACTCCAGTGAGAATGGCTTGTATCAAAAAATCCCAAAACAACAAATGCTGGCGAGGATGTGGAGACAGGAACACTCTTACACTGCTGGTGGGACTGCAAATTAGTGCAACCTTTGTGGAAAAGAATTTGGAGATACCTCAAACAGCTAGAAATAGAAATACCATTCGACCCAGCAATAGCATTGTTGAGCATCTACCCAAAAGAGCATAAGACATTCTATTATAAAGACATCTGCACCCGATGTTTATGGCAGCACAATTCACTATTGCACGGTC